AGACAACAGTCTAGAGTGACTGCCGCATGTGTCTGACGCAAATTGGGCTCGTTACGTCGAACAGATTTGGGCATTATTTACTTGGGTGTTCTTGGATTCAGTCTGACATCATCCCTTAACCTGCCATAGCATCGCAGCTGCTCTAGACATTGTATTTCTGTCCTCTTTAACTAGGGTAGCCCAGCTCACTGGTGATTTACACAGTCTGATTTTCAAACGGGACCCAGGTTCACAAGTAACACAAAGTTTGTACATACAAGGAAGAAACATGGCACCGTAGCTATTCTGTACAACATTGGAAAACATTCTCTATACCTTCAGTGACTGAAAGAAATCTGCAGTTCATCTTTCTGTCAGAATATAAATCGGTATGTAAATAGGATGAAATTAAATTGTATAGATCCATAAGAAACAAAAGAGGGCAAGACAATATTGATGCTAATGAGCCAGTTGTTGTTTGAGTACATGATCTAAAAGTTAACCTTTATCCCAAGCAGACCAACAGACAAACTACTTTTGGTTACATACAATAATATTCAACATACAACATATAATAACAAAATAAATGGTGATATTACAATATGTAATAATAAACAATAAATAAAAGTCGCAGTTTTAACTCCTGGGTGGATTTCAATGAATTGGAAGAGACAACATTTCAAGGTGACTGTAACTTGTGTCTAAACTAACTAGACCTCATTACGTGAACACATTGGGTATCAGTTAACTCGTATTCTGGCACGCGTCCTAGAATGACGTTCATGTGGTTTTAATTGGTCTCTAGTGTTATATATCATAGATTAGCTGAACTGAACTTTATTTGCTTTCGGCCTTAAATGGGCTATGGCAACATACATTAACTCCTGATAATTACATTGCCAGAGACGCGGCTGACGGCTACCATTGACAGTATACACAGATAGAATTCTAAATATCTTGTTGCATTTTCTCTTTTTTCTATAAATGCCGATTAACCTTAAAACCTAGAATCTTGGTCAGCTCGAAGATTTCTCTTTTGATACTGGTAAAGCCAGAAAGTAGACAAACATTTCGGCGATGGATTTCGTTTAATTTGGCCCATATTTAATGAATAATGTACCTAGTTATAGAAATTGGGTGGAGAGTTTAGTATAGATCATAGTTTTAAATATATAAGAATGGTATGTGTCAATGACAATTCATAATCTAAAATCCATTTTGTAAATTCATACCACAACTGGAGCATCATAATGACTGTAGCCCAAATAAATCATGCTTCTTAATTTCAATTTTTCCTAGATCCTATAGATGAAATAGCTTGAATAATCATGCTATGAAAATAGTGAAGATGTCAAGTAACATGTTGAAGCCACTAATGAAATACACACAATGCAAGTATTTAAACAATGATTAGATTAGAATATAAACCTGTCGAGGGGACAGCAGTAAACCATTCTGTGACAAGCTTCACTGGGTCAGTCTACTGAGGAAGACCAGAGTGACTGGTCAAAAGCTATAGGTGAGAGAACCTTTTTGTGTTGGACCAAAAGTTTTAACTTTAAACAGTAAACGATTCTATATATAGAGTTAGCTCTGGTTGTTCAAGATCAATATTTTACTACTCTACAGACATGACAACTTTATTCTATAGCAATTCATTTATCTCTTTTATCAGTTGCTAAAGAATATTACTATTCTATAGACATGACAACTTTATTCTATAGCAATTCATTATCTGTTTTATCGGTTGTTTAAGACTGCAAAACGCCTGCCCGTGAGAAGAATCGATTCAGCCCGTGTCTTGTTAGACCGATAGGCTTATCATAAAGAACGACAAACAGGCGAGTTTTACGGAGGCGACAAATGCAGGGAGATCAGCAGGAACATCTGTGAGATAGCCGTGGTTTACGATGTCTGACGTCCTTCTGATGTTATTAAAGAAGAAAAATGGGCGGTCACATTCGACGTAGAACGTGTAGAATTTTTCAAGCAGGCTGAGCCAGGAATGAAGTTGTTGTTCCTATAGAATAGTAATATTAAACATAAAAATGTAATCTTAAACAACCATTGAAAAGAATTTCACGCAGATTTTTCCCAAACATGATTGCTAGATTTTGCAAGACTATCTAAAGAATGGTCCCCAGTGTGCAATATACATGTACGTAGGACGATCGTACGACGTATATGTGCGGTCGTGCTTTAATCGTGCGACGTATATGTGCGGTCGTACTTTAATCGTACGACGTATATGTTCGATCGTATGAAGATCGCACGACGTATACGTGCGATCGTATGAAGATCGCACGACGTATACTTGCGATCGTGTGAAGATCGTACGAGGTATATGTGCGATCGTCTGGAGATCGTACGACGTATATCTGCGATCGTATGGAGATCGTACGACGTATATGTGCGATCGTATGAAGATCATACGACGTATATGTGCGAACGTACTTCAATCGTACAACGTATATGTGCGATCGTATGAAGATCGGACGTCGTATATGTGATCGTATGAAGATCGTATATGTGCGATTGTGCCCTAAACAGTGCACACTCAGACAAAATAGCCATCAAAGAGGTTACAACAAGGTATTTCCGGTAGCGCTGTTGACTGACATTCATACACTGTTTGAAATACCTTGATCTTAGCAAACGCCTCCATGTAATCATGATTTCAATCCCCCCTTTTCATTCTTCGGCCAGACTTCCAAAAATCGTTAGTTCATCAGGAAGCCAATCCCGCAATCTCGGCAAGACCGATACTATATTACTCACAACTTTAAGATCCATACTCCTCCAGATACGGCCGAGAATCTGAGATGCCCCACTCCGTGAGATCTATTGGTCTAATTGAGCGATGCCTAAATGGCTTTGACGGTGCCGAGTCCAACTCCCATCGATTACATTTGGTCTGGTAATTTATATCATATTCTAAGGAGCCCAGAAGGTGCATATACCGCTCTTCTGACCCCTTAAGAACTCTCGTTGAGGAGAGGAGAATGAAGAGCTGTAGACTTGGACTATAGGGGTCAGAGAAATTAATAGAGGTCTTCTTGCCGTCGATAAGTCAGCTGGTTATTTTCATTTATGCCCGGCCGTAAGTTTATCCCGGACACGACCGGGACTGACTGTGCATTTTGATGGCGCTCCCGAGTAGCTGTAAAACTGACGACATGGCAGTTTTCCACGGAGGAGTCGTCAATAGATCAGCCGTGATGGCGGGTTTCACGGATGCACGGCACGTAACAGTACGATGTATATTATATACTACAGCTGGCACGTCCCAGTGCGATATACTAAAGTAGGCACGAGCGGGGACGTGACTGTCAACAAGTTCATATATGTTTATAGATAGATAGATACTTATTATTAGATAGATAAATATAAAGGCACAGATGTACACACACAAACACACACACACACAAACACACGCACACACACACACACATAGACGCACGCACACACACACACATGTACAGACACACACACGCACACACACACAGAAACAGACACACACACACACACAGACGCGCGCACGCACGGAGGTAGGCACATACACACACACACACACACACACACACACACACACACACACACACACACACACACACACACACACACATACACACTTACACACATATACAAACACGCACGCTCACACTCACACACATGCATACAAACACACACATACAAAGAGATAAAGAGAGAGAAGGATGGAGACAGAGCGACTGTGCCCTGATCCTTGTCTCCAAGTGTTGTATAATAGATTTAGTAGATGCCCCATTATGATGAGGAAAGGAGCAAGGTTTTTGAAGCGTGACTATGATAATAGATAAGAGAATATAATAGATAAGAGAATAAACTATCTTTATTCATAACACACATGAACCGTTTAAGTGAACATTACTTCCATATCGCGTTTTTATTCTGTTAGCAAATGATACGACATTGTGATGATGTTAAGTTAGGGCTGAAAACGGGCACGCGTCGCAAGTTTAGCGAACTACATCTGATATTCTCTGGGGAATCATCCTTAGAATGCAGCATACATGACCGGGGCAATTTTGACTCGGGGCAATTTTCCTGCATGGCCCAAATATGTATGATTTCACTGGGAGGGGATTTTAAACCCATCTGCGATCCTCCGTACCAGCAGCCCGACTATTGTACCCTGCATGCATGAGGTCACTGCCCAATTACACCCCCTCAGCCCGCGCCAGGCCCGCCAGTGAAAAGTTAACGTGCCGCTGAAATTCAATCTACATTTATCTCGCTGTGTCGGCCCGTGTCTGGTATTTTGCAAGGTGGACTTATGAGGAATACGGGAGCACCTACACGCACAGGTTGGCAATCTGACGTCCCAGGGCAGATTTGATCATAGGTATTCACGGTGCAATATACATGTAAGACGTATATGTGCGATCGTACTTTAATCGTATGACGTATATGTGTAACCGTCTGAAGATCGTACGGCGTATATGTGTAACCGTCTGAAGATCGTACGGCGTATATGTGCGATCGTATGAAGATCGTACGACATATATTTGAAACGGTCTGTGTCTAGTATTTTGCAAGGTGGACGTATAAGGAAAACGGGGGCACCTACACGTTCAAGAATTCATTCTTTCCTAGAACTATCGCAGATTGAAACTCGCTGTCACCAAGTACAGTAGGGGCATTGTCATTAGATTGTTTTAAACAAGAATAAGATGTTGAAGGGTTAGGTGTAACAAGTCGATCGGTGTAATATAGCCAGCTGCCGCCGCGCTGCGTGCCTGCGAAGCTGAAAGACAGTTATACCGGATATAAAGATACAGAAACTGGTGTGTTACGCCAAAAGGCTGTTATACCGTCTATACAGATACAGATACAGACGTCCCATGGAAGGTTTGATCATTGGTATCCTCGGTGCAGCTCAACCAAGGTGGCTCATGGGGCATTCGGGGGGAGGGAAAGTCATTATCGTGCCTACATATGTGGAAAATATGCCTTTTGTAGAAGAAAATGGATGGCAAATCATGGAAGCACCTCCAAATGTAAGTTATACGGCAGGCCTCAGCCATAGGTATCTATTGCCTACCTGAACCAAGGTGGCTCATTGACACAAAGATCCTACGTTTGCTGATAATAAAAACAGTCATTTCTTTGTAAGAATAAACATTTAAACATCTCAAAACCATAACCGACCAATGTAAAAAGGCTCTATATAATATAATTATGTAGAAAATGAAAAGAGAGTGTTTGTTTCTAAGAACAATGATCATTAACATTAACAAAGCCTTATATCCAGGACATCCACAAACTAAAACTTTTTAATATTAAAATTCAGTAATATCGACATCTTTTTGTTCTGCAGGTTGTGACGTCCATCATGGCAATGAAGATCCTCCTCAGCTGTCTGCTGTTTCTCTGCTGTTTCCGTAAGTAACGAAACACAAGAACTGTTTTATCTACTTTAGTGTCTTCCGCCAGTGGTATCTTTTCTGACAAAGCACATCGCTTCCGTAAATAATTTCATCAGATTGGTAAACGAATGAACAGCAAAGTTGGTTCACAGTGGAACACAGTGCACTATGCACCAAGTAACATCTAGCGTCAGTGCACAGTAAACCAGTCAGAACTGCCCTGATGAAGATGACAGACGGTCATCGAAACGTCGGCTCGTAAAAATAAATGGTTGTGGTCAAAGAACTTTGCTATTCAAAGCACATTATTATCTTTTCAAGACTAACATTTCTACTGGTAGTGCTATTGTTTGTTTGTATGTCTGTTGAAAATCATTAACTTACAGCCTTCCTAAGCCCCCTTTTAGTACTATATGTGCTGACAAATCGTTCTGATTTGCTGTATTGAGTTTTCTACTGCAAGTAGTATTCGATCCGACCAATTATTTTGCTATAATGCATTGCCTCCAAAAGACTGATTTACCAAATGGCAATGCTATCTATTCTGATAAATCATTTTGCTCTATCTATCATATTCCCTTCCCAAGGCCAGCTCTCCTACTGCCAGTAGTATCTCTTCTGACAAATTATTCTGATTTATCGAATTGTCTTCCTAAGCCTTACACTTCCATTACAAGTACTATAATCTGTTCTCACAAATCAGTTTACTTTATCACAGTGTCTTCTCAAGGCTGAGTTTTCTATCGCTAGTTTGATCTTTCCTAACAATTTATACGCGACACATTCCATGTAAATATCATTTCGATCTGTGGAGCTGTAAGATACATGTATGATGCATGTATTTCCCAATAGTATATGATAACATATGAAGGAAGTCAATATCATATAATAGCTTTTTACTGCAGTAGAAGTTTGTCATTTCTTGTATGGATTTATGACAGCCAATCTATGGGAAACCGCTTTTCATGCATGGCTTTAATATAAATGGATATTGTTATTGAACAAAATGCAGTTATTTGATTTTCGCTGTAGCGCGCTGAGCGTGTAACAAGTCCAAGTCCAATCACAGGTAAACTTTTATTGGCTGGCTGTACAGGATCTGTCAGTGAAACTCTTAAGGCAAAACAAAAGGCTGAATTATATTTTGTACGTTTATTGCCTCGTATACAACATACCAGATAAAGACAAACTATTGAACGTGTACAGTAATAGTAAAGGTGTCAGGTACGTAAACATTGTCAGGTTTGTCACCATGAAGTAGTTTTATTGTTTATGATCAGGCATATGAACGTTCTGTAGTTTCTCAGAAGCCGTACTCTCTGTCAGTCGAAGATTTTAAGATATCGAATATTGAGGTTGAAATGTAAAAATGTGGGGTCGTGTGGCGTAGCGGCAGCGTGCTCGACTCGGAACCAAGAGGTCCCGGGTTCGAGTCCTGACATGCCACCGATCTTGTGCCCTTGGGAAAGGCCCTTTATACGACTTTCCTCACTTAACTCATCAAGTGAAACGAGTATTATCTTGTCCTGCATTTGTCCTCTGCGTTGGTGGCGGTATAAAATAAGTTGATATATCTTTAGTGTGCAGTCACCAAGTCTCGTCAGGAAATGTTGGATTATAAAAAAATGTAAAAATCAACATAAACTTCATGAAGGCATAACCGTCAGCGTTACTACCCAATATTTCTATGAATGCATTAGAAATTTCACATTTATTACCGAGGCTTACGAATAAAAGAGCAATTATGTTTACACCGACGGCTGAATTTGAGTTGTAGCCAGCTTACCGGATAATAGTGGGAACTACAGACCCTGAAGTTTATTTCATTATGCGGCTTACTGATTGCAGCGGGTATCGAAATACTAAAGGCCAATGTCCTTTGACATTTGACAGCGACATCGTTGAATATTTTTGAATAACACATCCTTGGGATATTCATAATATCCGTGTCCTTGGGAATGTATCATAGCCATACTGAATACATGCAGAGTGGAACTCGCTGTCACAGTACAGTAGGGGCATTATCATTAGATAGCTTTAAACAATGTTATGAGTTAGATGTTCAAGGGTTAGGTGTAACAAGTCGATCGGTGTAATGTAGCCAGCTGCCACCGCGCCGCGTGCCTGCGAAGGGCGTTTATACCGGCTATATAGATACAGATTTTCTGAAATGTTGATATCTGTGATATGTCTTTTGTACGTTTATTTGCAATTTCGAAACCAAAACCAAAACTCAACTAGGATGTTAAAGTAGCACATGAACTGAGCAAGCTTAATTGCACATCAACTACTTAATCACAGCCATTCTGTGGGTATTGGATGGGCCTGCACCTAATTTTCACGTCGTTCGTCTGGCGAGTGATTTCAACTTCACTGCACGAACATAACGAACATTAAGAGTGCCCTCTTGTACGGCGATGGTTGATGTCGGCAGCAAGCGCGAGAAAATTACCAAGACAAATCACGATATAGGATTACTCGAAATTACAAGTGCTGTAACGCCGTCTCTCACTGTCTGAGGAATAACTGGCGGTGACTAATGTTGGCTTACGTTCTACGGTAAGTGCATAGTCGGTATAACCGCCCTCCGCTATTGACTGTTATACATTTGTTGTGATGTATGTGTTTTTTTGGATGTAAGAAATCTCTTCTATCGAGTATGAGGCATGTCACACCTTGTCTCACGAAGCAAAAGAATAATTATAAGACATTTCTGAACCTGGGTGTAAGACCAACAAACGTCAATTTTATAACATGGCTGGCCGAGCGACGATGTAAACTCTTCTGCATTCAGTCGAGTTTCTGTGAAATAACTGAGAGTTGCACATTGTTAGCTATCAAAGACGCCACGAACAGCAGGGGTGATTTTTTGCCATTTGCAATTGACTGTTTTTTATTCCTTTTGATGTTTATGTTCTTGGGGGGTGTACGAAATCTGTTGTAGAAATCAAGTATGAAGCAACAGTGTGTCGTACCGTGTATCACACAGGAAAAGAATAATTATGAGACATTTCTGAACCGAGAATTGAGATCAAATGACAACTTCGCGCAGTTAAGCAGCAGAACGCCTAGGTTTAAGAATAGTGTTGTACGTTTTATTGTCAAGTTTCTTAACCATTCTTGATCAATTTTACTGTGTATCATGCCCCAATTCAGCCATGTAAGGCTGCAAATGGTATGTGTGTTGTACATATTAAGCTACTTCATTCAACCTGGGTGTAAGACCAACAAACGTCTCTTTTTTTTCAACATACAAAAAAAGAAATGAATTTTTAAAAAAAATTACAGTTTTATGACATGAAAGGTCGTTCGACGATGCAAACTTTTCTGCATTGAGTCGAGTTCGTATGAAAGATCAACTGAGAGTTGTACATTATTACCTGTCAAAGGACGCCACTAACAGTAGGGGTGTCTACCCGACAACTGAGATGTCTGAGTCTATGTGAGAATGGCGTGTCTGTGACATTTGCTCAAAGGCACAGTCCCTTATTGTGACTAGACAAGCTTGGAGACGCTGTCTTCTGTCAGTATTTGCCCATGTTTAAATTCAAAGGTTTCAGGCTTCCTCGATGAAGGGTAGACGTTACGTAATGCAACACAAATCAAGTAACTGGATCAATTCTGAAACGTCTGGACCTACATGTATACATACAGAGAATTTACCCACTTTACGTGGTATTACTAGGTTTCAGTTCGTTAGAACGTTGCGTATAAATGAATAAAGCAACTGGATCAATTGCTAAACGTCTCACTCTTCTCTTCAGAGAATCAGTAATACCCACTTTGCTTGGTTTATTTGTATTGCGTAGGTTCCAAGTTCCTTTGTGACAAGAGTTGGGCATATTCCTAAGGCAACTCTGTGATATCACATCCCTTAAAATGCCATCAACTGGATAAATTATGAAATGTCTGATTCTGAATTCACCCACAATTGCTTGGTTTATTTTATGATGATCATTTTATTGCAAATTGCAAAACATAAGAGAGCAATGAAACAGAGTATGAAATAACTAAAGTCTACATAATAAGGGAAGTTGTCTGGAACTATAACTATGTCTAAAACAACGTCTGAAGGGTTTGACTTCTCTTCTGTAAACTATAGAAGACGTAATGTCCCATCTTTTCTAAAAATCAGTGGGTTTGGGGAAGTTAAAAAAAGAATAGTTTTTCTTGGTCTATAAGTTTAGAGAAATTGGGATAAATTGTAGAAGTTTAAATATCCAACTCATTTCGAGCGTTGTTATGTAGTAAACAGTTTGAAATAAAATGCATTTCGTCTTCCACAGCCTTTGCACTACAGTATTTACAAATTGAACATTTATGTTACGTAGGTTTTAAGCTCCATCTGCACAGAGTTTGACAAATTCCTAAGGCCGTCCCGTGATAATACATCCCTGGAAACATCATCAGCATTGCTAAGTGATTCAGACATCCCGGAAGGAGTCCCTGCGAGCACAGGTTGAAGTAATTGGATGGCGGTAACCTCCCAGCCTCCTTACCTCCCTCCATCAATCAGACCTTAGTCATACATAGAAATACTCATTCCTTCAAGCGCCGGGGTTGTCAGCCAAGGATTGCTGAGGTAGTCAAAAACTTTTCCCCTAGAACTGTGATAAAGTGGAACTCGCTGTCATCGAGTACAATGTGAGCCTCCCAACTACATACCAACTCGGAAAAGAACAAGAAATAGTCATGCCTTCAAGTACCAGAGTTATCAACCAACGATCGAGGTATTCAAAAACGTTTTCCCTAGAACTGTCGTAAACTAAAATTCTCTGCCACCAAGCACAGTGCGGGCATCCCAATCAAATACCTTTAAACAACACTTACAGATAGATGTGCAGAGGCTAGATGTGACAGGTTCATTGTGCTGTAACCAGCTTCCGCTGTGCTATCCATGTACACTCACAAATGTCAGACTGAATACCGTAAAAAAATCAGTTACTCAAGCAGCCAGCTGGAAGCATCTTTATATCTAACCTCCACGGACGTGTCAGACAGAAACATTCCAGTAAAGCTAGATTCTCCTCCTAACCAAATTTTAGCTTTTAGTATGTCTGTTGCTTCCGGATATATGGATGTATCGTATTTTATGGTTGAGCCATGGGTTCGCGCTTCTGTTTGTCCAGACAGTACATACATATGTTGAGAGCACGTGGGTAAGGAAGGTTGGCAGGCAAAATAACACAAGGTCAAAATATGAGAATCTGCCATAACCGAGGATTACGTACCCTGAAATCCTCAATTTCCTCTTTAATCAAACACAGCTGTATCTGTATCTGTCAGGATTATAAGATGAATTTAAATTGTCAGATGACTTGTCATATGGATGCAAGGTACACCTGACCGCTAGTCATGTTTATTGAAGCAAACATTATGGTCTAAAAATGGGGTAGGGAATTTTCCCGACCAGCCTCGTGACCCCTGCTTCTCCTATTGGGTCAGTTAGTCCTCACTACTTAAATGTGAGAAACTCGGCTGGTCTCAACCATGATGTTTCTGACTCAGGGAGAAGAGTTGCTGTTACAGTTCTACTCGGTAACCCGTAACTCGAACATTTGCATCCCGTGCAATCAGAAAATAGCACATAAAAGCTCCCAAAGACCCTCAAGACCCCACCAAACCCCCAGTTTTTGGCATGCTGTGGAGGCTACCCAAAATGAGGACTGCAGGGGTAAGTACAGTACAGACAGCAATTTGTCTCTGGGGGCGCTAACGCGACAGACATTGTCGGGCTCATCTTCGGAGTAATTCCTTGGAACTCGTTTGCGCGGCAATGATGTTCCTTTACTGCAGCAGTACTGTATGTACTATCGGTGAGGCTGGCTGAACTAATAGGACGATATATTCACCGAGCTTCAGGTTCATTACGCCGGCTTATAGACAGGTGAACTTTATAGAGTATGATTAGGCTGTACATCTTTGGGGGGGAAACGCGGCGTCTGTAGGCATACATACTAAATACCAGGTCTTCTCCTTTGCATCAGTGCTAACAGTGAAGCAAGAAATAGCCATGCCTTCAAGTACAAGAGGATTAAGGTGTTCAGGAATTCATTCTTTCCTAGAAGTATCGCAGAGTGGAACTCGCTGTCAGCAAGTACAGTAGAGGCATTGTCATTAGATAGCTTTAAACAATTAATGTCTAGAGTTAGAAGTTTAAGGGTTAGGTGTAACAAGTCGATCGGTGTCATATAGCCAGCTATTGCCAAGCTGGTGTGTTACGCCGAAAGGCGGTTATACCGGCTATACAGATACAGTGGTAGCCTCCACCAGGACTTCGTACGGGGGTACGGATAGTAGAATTCGGGAAAAAGGGAAGTAATTTGCAAAGAGAGTCAGTCCATCGAAGGGTAGCTAAACCTACCTGGCCAATTATTCACCTTATTTGGCAATTTTTTTACTATCTGTTGTAAGTTCGGCGGAGGCTAGTGGAAATGTATGTTTTATAACACTTGTTAAGTCCATTCCAAGGTTTCTATCATTCAATAGATTCAAATAGAAAATTCAAGTTCGCCTCGTGAGGGCTGTTTTATTGCCAACGATAAGTGTCAGAAATGTGAAATAGTAGCGCATACATGTTGAAGAGTCAAAGGAAATGACAATCCGCCAAAAAGCAGTTACTCAAGCAACTGGATATGGTTTTGGAAACGGTCAGACATTTTAGGTAGTATCCACTAGCTTTCGTCAGTGATTGCAAATAAATTGAAGACATATTTTTGGAAGTCGAAAAGGGAACAAAAGTCAGACATGTCAAGACAAGATAATGCAAATTAGTCAGAAAGCTACTGTTATGCAGAACAGGAGCTTGTTGTCTGTCCTCGGGGCTGGGAGCACCAAATGACAATCGCATGAAGATTTTGTTCGATTTTAATATTTTTGGTGCAAAAATGTTACATAAGGCGTAGTTACACGTGTATAAATAAGTGACACGATATTTCTCCCTACAATCGACCGAGTGAATGGTCGTTCATTTAACTCTGATTACAGCGTCAAAGACAAATTACTTGATCTTTTCATTTCGACGTCCGTGTGTTATATATGAAGCATGGTACTGCTATCGTACTGCATCATAACGCTGCCTTACAAAGCTTCTCACGTTTTTCTTTTGTTTGATTTTTCAGCTGATGGCTGGAGCAGATGTAGCAGGTCGAGACCACCCAAAGGTGAGGGGAGCAAAAATCTGCACATTGTTCCGGTGTGATAGTGAGCAGCAATTTGTCTCTGTCCTTTCTAAGAAACGGATTCCTAATTATCATGTAAAGGAGTTACTTAGATAAAAAATAATACCATACAATGGACACGTATGATATTACCCATTTCACCAAATCTGGATGTACAATATTGCCATCGTTCTTTAAATTTGTAATATCCCCATTTAATTTTGTTATAATTTTATTATGTTTCATATGTTGTTTATTTACCCTCATTATAATTGTTATTGTTATTATCATTATTATGCTTTTAATTGTTTTGGAGGAGGACAAGAATAAGCCCTAAGGCTTCTTCCTCATCCAGCACATCTCATCTGTTTAGGTTAATTATTCTATATTCTGTTTAGGTCGACTATTATATTAACTTTCTGTATTATTTTGTATTTTATACGAAACGTGCAAATAAAATAAAAAATAGGAAAAAATAAAATATCGAGTGAAGCGTTAGAAGAACAGAAACCGAGTAGGGTGGAAAAACCTGGTTGTCAGATTGTCTGTGGTGCCCCAAGGGTCAAACAATTGGACTAAGGGATAGATGACATTGGACCATTGATATCAAGTTCAGGAATATCAAGTTCAAGAATAGGTTCTACCAAGTATATCGGGAAAACACTAATTTAAACAGGTGCTTATGGGGCGTCGTACACCCCTAACGTTGTCCATCAATTGATGATCTTTCTCGGGGAAAACAATTATCAGGTCCCTCACGCAGTCTGCCTCATCAAGGCAGCGCGGAAAAGCTATTTAATCATGTATTTAATGATTTATCGAAAGCCTTTGCTTTCTGCCTCGCCCCTGAGCAGGGCTGTTAAATCCATCCCCTCATTATCACTCGGCTCCCAGGGCGGGGATCAATTCCACACTTTCCGGAGGGAAGATAATGAAAATTAAACTGTTCTCCAACTCAAGAAGACATAACTCACCGGCGTGTCCGCATCTTCTTTTAAGCAGGGTCGCTAATGATAGTGTTCTGGCTCTGTGGAAGAGTGTTTTAGTATGCCCGTTTTAAGGTCAAGAGGGTTGTTTGAGTAAAAGAGGAAGAAATATATTGTTTTTTGAGCCCGTACGTTAAAAATCAAAGCATCGTTGAATATTTCTGTGTTAGCGTAAAGGTAACAAACTGGTTTTCTAAAATGGTTTTAATGCTGAAGATAGCTAACGCACAGCCGCTTGTGATATTGGTGTTGTCGAGAAATCGTATTCCGTAAATTGAATATGCAATGGCTGTGAATTATTTAAGGCCTTAAAGTGGACGTTCATAGCGGAATAGAAAACCATTTGGTTACGACCTGTTGCTCCAAACGTGCATGTAGGATACATTGTTATAAGGGATATCGATATAAGGTAATCATTTTGGTGATGTTAAATACATTTGTCATCCGTCGAACGATTTGAATGAAATTAAATGATGTTAAATCCCACTCGTAATTCTTGATCGAGGTCTTTACTTTTATGTACGTCTAGCTACATACCTATGCGTGTATATCTGTTTCATGCATTTGTATTGTTTGGCGAGCCCTGGAAGATAAAGCCCCATAAAGGGGCTAAAGGGTCTTGCTTACGAATAAATTCTAACAGTTGATAATATAGAATCTTTATTTGCATGTTCATACCCATGGGGCTAAATGCGTAAATCAGAATGTGATGTTACATGAATACCATACTGAGTAATATGATAAATAGGATACAAGGATAACAGAATAACAGAATGACGTTGAAGTCTTAACAACTACTAGTGAATAAACTAATCTAGACCTTAAGGATTTCTTCTCTCTTTTTAAAGCAATTGGAGATAAATTCACAAAGTTTTTCTATTGTATGGTCATTACTGGCGGACATGAGATGACTGAATACATCTTTCTTTGTTCTACCTTTATACAGTTTGTCTAAGTGGATTGTTCTAAATAGTGATACTAATAATGATACTAATCAGTATTTCCTGATTTCCGCCCAGCATGCGGCCGAACCATGACTTCCAACCGCGGCACCTTCAAGTCCCCCGGCTTCCCTCGTCCCTACCTCACCGCCGCCACACACGAGGACAAGGTCTGTACCTGGCTCATCACGCTTCCCTACGGACAGGGCATCAAGTTACTCCTGTACGGCTACGACTTCGCCTTCGAGAGGTTCCGATACACGGCTTACATGGACGAGGTGCAGGTCTTCAGGGACGAAATGTGCGGGGAGGAGAGCCGTATACGGCAGTATCAGGGAAATGATACGGAATATGACGTTATCCACATCCCCAGTAATACAGCTTGTATCAAGTTTTTTAGAAGGACTACACAGAATCACAGTCATACCGGATTTTCCATGTCGTATGAAGGTGAGTAGTTTTACCTTAAGTTTATAGATGGTGAACTGTTTTGGCGTAATATGTCAATAAACCGATAACCAATCGAGTGATAGCTTCTTCTTCCAAACTAGCCAAGAGTTAAGATTTATTTTTATCATTTATTACGATTGACCACATACATAATATACATGGAGGGCATGGTGGAACAGGTGCACCTAAGTGCACCTTTTCAAGGCCACCATGCCCAAGATGAAAAGAAGATCATTACCATGCCACCATTTGCTACATACGTGTATAATACTTGGAACTAAATGCAGTTCTATTATCACATCAAAGACTAAAGGTAAAATATCACAGATAGATGTGAGAATGTTCATAGAGTTTAAGGGAAGACACAAAGCAATTAGTCAGATAACCAACGTTCTGTTGTGTAATCTGTCTGACTCAGTTTTGACGGAGGGTGCATTTTAGTGGACTTTTCATTCGACATCCAACAACAAAAACAATACACACCCAACCACATGTACATCCCACCATTGAAATCGTACTGAGCGTTGACATGTACGTATGGAACAGAAGGAAATCAGGACTTGTTGTACATGAGATGCGGATTTTCTAACAAGAGAGGGGAACTTTGAATAATATTATGCCAATAAAGAAAAACCCATAAAGGCAATCCCAAGTCAGGGTTTAACGAGCAACAAGTGCTGCTTGTTATTGCAGCCATTTAGAGTACAGACCTTGGGAAATGCATCCATGATACAGGCTGTGCAGGGATCGAAATACTGGGTGCATGTGCACCTTAGTTAGTGCAACCAAATTTGGAGCTATATGCACCCAATTATTTCATGTGGGTGCACCAGTGCACCAAAATATTTTCGTAGGTTTACGTATGATGTTAAATGTACTGTAGTAAACAGCATATTCTTAACATCTAAGTGTTAGAAAAATAGTAAAATATTGTTATAACACTTTCTTAGAAATTAAACATAATTAGTTTTTGCTTTTTTAGGTTGGGTGCACCAGTGTACCTATTCCCAGCAAGATTGTCATGGCGACGGTGGTTGCTGTTAGGGTTATTGTTTGCATGGCACAGCCATCATTTCATGATTTTGAGGAAGACTTGATACCTGCTAAGTCTAGACAGAGACAGATACAGTGCACTCCTTCCCTGAGTGTATAGCAAACGAGCCCCGGGGTCACAGAAAGTAGGGCCATCCAGAGAAGGGAGGTCTTCCCAGGGGTTTCCAGGAATGTGGGCATAGATGTGGGTCAGAGACATGCCTGTGGACATTCCATGTGGACAAAATGCCCGTACCATTCCTAGAATTCTTGCAAACTGAACACAATACTAGCCTGGTTACCAAACCTATTATAGCTCCCGAGTCCTACATCCTCTCCGCAAATAGGATGTAGGACTCGGGAGCTACAATAGGTTTGGTAACCAGGCTAACACAATACTGCACCATTAGGCTCCTCCGAGAGACGTCGCCAAAAATGAATTTGGAGCCCTACTGTGCTTAAGGAGGCTTTTATTTGCCTGCTACACTAATCCCAGTTGACACAGGCTACAGACTAATGGAGGGGAAAGTACGGTACTAATGGACCGAGGCCTGTGTTATGCAAGGGATCAATAAAAAGCTACATCCTACATTATGTAGTAGCTACAAAAACGGATACCGGCGTATTTCCCACCACCAGTATATATATAACGCGTCGATGAAGGTTAGACATCTAGGTGTAGCAATAGTTTATACGCCTCCGCTGATATATTTAGTCACTGATACAAGATAGTGGGTTCTATCGCCTGACTCTTTAAAGAATTCATCTAGTTGCTTGATTCATATTTTGTATTAAAGTAACTGTAATAACTCAGAAATATCACTGTACAAGACATCCTGTTATCACAACAGTGTCACTGATAAAAGACCGTTGCTGCTATCTGACTAACGCCTGACTTATCCAGTCGCTTGATTCATTTTGTATTAATTAACTGTAATGATTCAAGCATCACTATACACGAAATTCCGTTATGATTATTTGATGATTTGATGCAGCTGCACATTGTCAGTCACTGGTGAAAAATTGGTTGCTGCTATATGAAACGCATGAAGTATTAAGTAACTGTAATGATCCAAACATCACTATGCGCGATATTCCGTTATCACAGTAACGATTGTTTACTAGTTATAGTCTTGACGATTTGATGCAGCTGCACTGATGACAGGTTTTTATCCAGTTTCTTGATTCATTTTGTATGAAGTAACTGAAATGATTCAAGCATCACTATGCACGAAATTCCGTTGCCGGAATTTACTATACACGAATTGCCGGCATCATTCCGGCATAATGATGCTTGTATTCTCGTTATAGTCTTTATGATTTATGCAGCCGCACATTGCCAGTCACGTATGAAAGATAGGTTCTGCTATCTGAAACGCCTAACTCTTACGAAAGTTAACGTTTATCTAGTTGCTTGATTCACTTTGTACTAATTAAATGACACAGGCATCATTATGCGATACGATATTCCGCCATCATAATAGTGATTATTTTGTTTTTGGTCTTTCTTAATGATTTGATGCAAATTCACATTGTCATAAAATTTACTGGTGAAAGATTGTTGATGCTATATGAAGTTTTTATACAGTTGCTTGATTCATTTTGTATGAAGTAACTGTAATGCCTGAAGCATCACTATACACGATATTCTGCTCTCATAACAATGGTTGTTTACTCGTTATAGTCTGGATAATTTTTGCGGCTGCACATTGCCAGTCACTAATGAAAGATGGCTGTTGCTATTTGAAACGCAGTTTGTATGAAGTAACTGTAATGAGTCGAGCATCACTGTACACGGCATTCCTTTATCACAATAACGATTGTTTTATATATGTAATACTCGTTAGTCATGACGGTTTGATGCTGCTGCTTATCTGCCCGATTAGCATCAAGATTCCGGCATCATTCATGAGCTGTTGGAGGCACCTGACTCATCAACGAGTGATTAACGATTAACATCATTCCAAGACAATGGCAACATGCATTATTATGTTTGTATATGTTATGCGCTTATTGTCTTTGCATATGGATATATGCATGTTAGGGTATGTAAGGTAAGGTAAGGTAATGTTAGGGTAGAGACGCTGATCATGTCGTCGATTCTGCCAGAAGAGGGAAGAGATCCATTGCTTTAAAGTTAAACATTCAGTCAAATTATTGGCAGCTACTGATATCATTTAATAATATATAGCCTGAGCTTGCCATATAGAACATAGATATCTTTCATCACAGTACTGATAATGAATAACAGACAGATTGCACCAGATTCCGAACGGGATCTCTACCCTGATCTGACATAGCGCCGTCTCTTCCCTGCCATATATATGGATATTGTCTAATTAGTTTTCAAACTTGCCTAAAAGAAGTGGTATTATTTGACTGCAATGCTCTTTTGCGGTACCTATGTACTAATACGTCGCTAAAACAGATTACATACATGTACTAGTAGCAAGTGATAGCTTCCTCTTCCGGACTACCCGTGAGTTGGGATAAAAAGACTATTATCACATCACCATTTCCTACATACGTGTGTGAGCGTGTGTGTGTGATTAGTCTCTTCCCTGTTATGTATAGGGATATTGTCTAATTAGTTTTTAAGCTTGCCTAAAAGAACACGTACTTCAGCCAGTGGTATTATTTGCATGCAATGATCTTTTCGTGTAGCTATGTACTAATATATCAATAAACCGATTACATACTACTATCAAGTGATAGCTTCCTCTTCCGGACTACCCGTGAATTGGGATGAAAAGTCTATTATCGCATCACCATTTCCTACGTGTGCGGGTGTGATTGCTCTCAATGGTAATGCTTCCTTCTGGTAACGTTGTTACGTTATCACAGTACGTTGTCCTGATACAGCCCGGCGCTAGCTGGCAGCAATCCAGCAGTGACTATTGTATCTTATTGACTAGACGCTGATTGAAAACTACAGATCACTGCTGTGGAGCCGATTACTTCTGATACCTTTCAACGTTCAGTCGAGATTAACATTAAAGAAGTCAGGAAGGGAGCAAGTTTTATGTAGCGCTCATGGTAATCATCAATACGGGAGGTGTTAAATCCTCCCCACTTGGCGAATAAAAAGCTTCAATACCTTTTTGGAATTGGCTGACGGCTTATAAATGAACAAATATATACACTTTTACGTGAATCATGTATGTGGGTTTGTATCAGATTGAGAGCTTGCTCGATGAGGTGGTTACCAGTTGCCTTTTAAAACAAATAATATGGTTTATCTTGAACGTGATAGAAGTCATTATAAAGTAATTCAAAACTAATTTCCAATACAAGAAATTGGACTTACTCAACTTTTAACAACTTCAGTCTTTGACAACTAATGTGAAATCTACCTGGGCTTTCAGTCCTTGACAAATATTTAGAGACTAGAAGTTTGGGTAAGCCCAATTTCTTGTGTTGGGAATTATATTGCTTCTAAAAGAAGCGGTTTATGACATTCTGCAAGAAGATTGATTGCGGCATATAGTAACTTTGCATTCTGTGCCAGTCTTACAATTTTTGTGATTATGATCTATCACGAAATAACAAGACTGACATTCGGAGTTTTCTTTTTCACAACCAGGAAAGACTCTAACCTTAAGATTGCCAGATCTTCTGACTGTTCAGAGCTATAAGGAATGTGTCTGATTAATAGACACCAAAACGTAAGGAAGGTGCGAGTCTGTCCTGGTTGTAAAAAAAGGAAAATTCCTTTATCCTATGTTCCAACCTGATGAAACTATTTTCGGAGTATGTAGTAGAGGGAATTCAATCCTCAGCTAACCGACATTTCCCACACACAGTCGTCCCCCAGTAAGACATCTGGAGCCGCATAGTTCCCGTTTAGAACTTTTATTCAGCCTGTCACACGACCGGTTTCGCCTGTCACACTGATGAAACTATTTTCGGAGGTCTGACATGTATTTCTCTCTGCAGCTGTGGATGACAATGGGGAGTGTGGAACCAACGGGTCTTCCATATCGTCACAAGAGGGATACATACGCAGTCCCGGATATCCTACCGCCAGCTATCCACAGCACATCAACTGCACCTGGGTCATACAAGCGGCGTCCTCACAGACCATTCAGGTGGATTTCTTGGACTTCCAGTTGAGCTACATTTACAGTTGTGACTTCGCGCCAGACTTTGTGCAGATTGGCAGCACCAACAGGACTTACGAGTTCAAGTATTGTGACCAGGACACGCCGTCAACCTTCACCAGTAAAAAGAACATGGTCTGGTTATTCTTTAAGACTGGACGATGGAGGAATAGAGGGTTCTTGGCATATTATAAAGGTAGGATATGTTTGTTTGTTTGTTTCACAAAGCGTATCGTATATTGGCGTTTTTCAATGTGCCATGCAGGCACACCAAACAAATATATTGATATCAAATGAAATCATGATCATCAAGAGCAAGAAATAACAAAATGTTCTAATGTTCAAAGGTCGACACAGGGGCAATATGGTAACTTAGGGATAATGTACCTCCAACTAAAACAAAAAAAAGAAGTTTAAAACATAAAACATGTACGTCGATTAAGGTTAAACATCCAGGCAATAATATAAGAAATATTATTGAGGTTCTTAGAACATTAAGTTAAAAAAAGTCACTATTTGGAGTTGGTAAGGTCGTAGTTTGAGAAACATTCTCAAGCGATCAACAACGAGCAAAGAGGGATTCCGGAGATACAGTTAGGGAAGTTTTTGTAGCAGAATCGCGATCGCTTTGTATTCAAGAAAATGCTACCGTTGTCCCATTTAATGACCACGGCTTGGGCTATAACGAGAGAGTGAAAAGAACAAATTAGAAACACATCGGTTAATATCTCGCTTCACAGACTAGATGTGCGCATTAGTAACAGCTTAGCACGGCAGTTCACGTTGGAAAATATCTTTTGACAAAATATTTATACTAAAACACACAACGAAAGTTCAGCTATGCTGGGGAGCTTTCGAGACGTACTCTGTCTCTTCATCAACCCGATTCAGATCTCGTCTTGGAGTTCTCTTGTCACGTGGCTTGGTGTGGAGAATATCATTATGAAACACAAAGCCAAACTTTCTGCACTAAAGTTTAGCCTTGTATTTCATAACACAGCAAACATGAGACGTACATGCGGCCTTGGCAGGAGGGTTCCCGCTGCAATTACCTAATTGTCCCTTATCATCCATGCATCGTCGGCAATAAAATTTCAATTTCCGGGACCACAAATAAAAGTGCGGTCAGCCTTCTATTCCCTTGGCCACACTTACTGGTGGCACAGTCTCTTACATTTATAGGGTACTCTTCTCTCGAGAGGGCAGTCAGCGATCGATATATTCAGCATAATAAAATATTTCACTACTTTCTAGTCATAGATATTAAAGCCCACATCTGCATTTTTATACAGATTGAAATGGCTTCTTATGTATCGCTCCAAATTTTGTTGAATAGATTGTTTTCAACATCAGGGAAAGTTCATTAAACGCAATTTCTATTCGTAGGTTTTTAGAGGACACTTTCAAATTTTACGAGAAATACGTGACACGAAGTCACAGCAGCGGTCAAAAAGCACTGTGCATTAGCGAGACATACTCATGAAGCATCATCCCTTGGGATGTAAAACCATCTAGCCGCTGGCAAAGAGAGCTTTCTCGTCGTAAAACGGTGTTATTGTTGACAAAACTAGTGCGGATGTATGATGCATATTATGAAAGATTTAGATGTTACACACGGGACCTGTGCCAGGTAGCTTGCTGGGCATAGGGGCCCCCTACGCTGTGATTTGGACCACCTATACTGTGATTTAGCACCTGCAGCGTCATTCAACAAGCATACATGTGTTTCTAATAGGAGATAACCTTTTGAACCTTCATAAATCCTTGAAAAATGGATATTTGACTTTAGAGTGAAGCTTCTGCAGAGGGAAAACATATGTTCCCCTCAATTTTCAAATTTGCCCCTCAAAAAGCGATACCGACCCCCCCCCCCTACTGTTGTCATGTTCTTGGGACTCAATGCGTGGCTTGCGCCAAAGAAAGTTGTCCTTCTGTACCCGACCCCTTCGCTGTGAATGATTCTGATGAGAACCTTGCTGTGGTTGCATGGTAATTGCCCTCAAAAAATGATGCACAAACAATGTCTTTTAACTAGCATATATACAGGGGTGTTAATGACTTAGGAGAACCTTGCGATTCTTCGTAAATCTTTAAAAGATTGAAATTCGACTTAAGAGTTATGCTGTTACAGAGGGAAAGTATACATTTACAAAATGCGTTCCTCAATAAGCGGGAAATTATGTCCTGAAGGATTTATGAGTTTTAAGATTTTTGGAGGGAGAACATCCGACCCCCTACTGTTGTCATGTCTTTGGGACTCGATGCGTAGTTTGTGCCATAAAATGTTGTCCTTCTGTACCTGACCCCAACGCTGTCCCTGTGAGTAATTCTGATAAGATCCTTGCTGTGCTTTCATGGTAATTTTCCTATAGAAAAATGATGCACACACACGCTCAAAATGAGTTTTCGGCCCCGGCGGTTCTTCACCAATCTTTCATTTCAAAAAGAATGGCCAATTTCCTACACGTATGGCTTATGTTTCTCAGATGTATACGCTGCTAGAAAGGAAATTTACACGCGTCGATGCGTATCTTTAGCAGACAGGAAATTATGTGCCATGAATACCCCGCTGAATACTCCGCGGATTGTGGCTGTAAGTTACTCTGACGGTGAGAAATGTGACTTACAGTACATCTCAGGTATATCTTAAGACGCGGCTGGCAAGAAATGGCTCTTTTCTAGCGCGACGTGATCTCTCATTACAACCTCCCTTCTTCAGCCAAACGCTAATGGCAATGCGAGGAGATCCATAATGCTTCTGAAAGGTCACGATGTCACTTATCAGCGCAAACGAACCCCGTGATATTTTCACGGTGAATTCCCCGCGATTGTCATGGAACGAGACACTCTGAGTTATTATTGAATGAGTAACCGGGGCATGTCCCATTTTAGAGAAATCACCCAATTTGTAGATCTAGGAAAGCCAGATAGAAAAGCTATTTCCCCTTAGCTTTCTGGTTCTTTTTTCAAATTGAAATCTGAGACGCGTTCTAGATCAATGATGCCGTATCGAAAGGCATGAAATAAGTTCCTTCTGCTGGTAGAGAGGTGCGGGGGGGGGGGGGTGATCTGAAAGAGAATTGCCAATCATTCGGTTGTTGCGTGGCTGCTGTCCACCAATGACTCGAATGATTCAAAGGTCAAGAAGTACCAAAAGTTCTGCAAAGAACGGTTATATCGTTAAATCACCACTATTTTTCCGACATAACTCCAGACATGCATCTGCCAGTACATTGCAATGTAGAAATAAAAGTTTTCCTGCTCTAATAGTTTTCGAGTGATCGTTGATTTTGGTAACGTTTACCAGATACAATTTTTGAGATTTGACTCTGACTTTGTCTGTGTATGCCCTACATTTCTACGAGTCCTCTCGCCATTAAAAAAGCGGGACTATTCATCAGCTTCCAAAGAAGACGTCAGCTAGACATTTAGCTGCTCAATTGATAATAACTAAAATCTAACTGCCTAAGTGCTTATCGTGATCACATTAACTGCCTATTGTTTATCACAAACAACAGTTTCACTTCTTAATTGTTTATCATGAAAACATTTAACTGCCTAATTGTTTATCAAGAACAACAAGAAGAAACAGGGCAAAAACAATATGTTTTCTTTCTACGAATGTAAACGTTCAGTAGCATTTTCGTCTTTTTAGCAATTTTATAAACGAATGTAACCATCATTGATAGCTTATCTTGAAAGTTCATCTGTGTTGGTAGAAATCATTATGAAGCTATAACTCCTTGACAAAGACTGGAGTTTGGGCGAAAAATTTGGGCGAGTCCAATTTCTTGTGTTGGAAATTACAGTTTAAAGTTGCTTCATCATCATTGATAGCATTTTCATCGTTTCAGCAATTGGTGGCTCCCCACTCCCTGAAATCTCCGGAGCCGACTACTGGACCAGCTGGGCCAGGTCAGATTGGAGGTACTTTGAAGAAACTAGGTGGTCTTCGACACGAGGTACGGATACAAATGGAGTACTTTTAGTTCTACTGGTTTGCTGTCTTGTGGCATTTTGTTTACCACCCCGGCGTCATACCTTCCACGGATTTCCTACTTCCGGGACGGAACTATTGCTTTGGAGGGAACTTGCTTAGGGAGTGTTTGTGAGGGAGGGCGGAGATTGGGTCTCGGTTGATTGACATGGATTGTGAGACGGTACGGCCTCGTTGGTAGGACGTTGAGTAATAGTGGTGTAAGGCTATATCGTGTAGTAGCGGAGTAGGTTCCATTATGCAATCGTAAGAGTAATAACCCATTCTATCATGTGATTCAAATATGATGCTATTTTCATCATTGAATAGAGAAACATATAAATCTTTAGCATGCCCTTTCTTTTGGATCAACGAAAAAAAAACTTAGTAAAAGTAAAAGCTTTAACATAATAAAAAAAAGTGATAAGGTTTGTCTCGTCGTATCTGCAAGAGAACAAATTGTGCAACGCATGCTCATATATTGATCTACATCCTCGAAACTACAACTGTGCAATTAAGGTTCCGGCGATGGCTGGCATCACATGACAGTTGGAGGGTTACTAAAATCTATCAGAGGGTAATGAGATTTCTGCTGCAGTGGCGCGACTTGTGCTTGAACCAATCTGCTTTGAAGTTAGCATTTGTATTCTCAAATCGATAGTTTACAGTCCGCTGAAGACCGTTGCTCAAAAGATGTACAGTGCATAATGAGAAGCTGAATTTATTTAGTTTTTATACTTTATTATACTTTTTTTGCTCAGTTTCCTCTTCTTCTTCTTCTCCAACCAGTAGCCTCAATGACCTGAACCAATGTTGTGTCTGTTACCATGGTAAATGGTGTTGGGTTACATCATGTTGCAATTTTATAGCAGGAGGGATTTAGACTCCTGACCATATAATATGATTCTGTTTGAATAAGAATTGACAGAGCAGAAGGTAAACATTATTAATTTGCCTTGCAACTGTTACCATTCTAGTTTAGACTGACTTTTATTGTACCTTGATTACATCACCTTTGTACACTTTTTTTTGTTTTGACTTGTACTTAGGAAAAAACGTACAATAAAACGTATTTATTCTGCCTTTCTGTAATTACAGGACTCGGGAAGAGTTCGGAGCCTGTCGACGCATTTGTTGTTTCAAAATGCAGCAGTCGTAAGTCGAGTGATGTTGCTCATTTCTATAAACAGATGCACACGATGTACAGCAATCGAACAGTTAACTCCACCTTATTGCATAATCCAACTGTTTCCCAGTCGGAGGCCTTCACAATGTCAATGAACCAATACTGGCCCCATTATTGCCGACTGGTCCATCCACTAGAACGCTTCAACACGGTTTGATGTAATGCCGTAGAGTTGCTCTTTTCATACATAACGTTGTCGTTTAAAAAAAATAGCTATGAGCATGTTTGTATATTGTGCTGTTTTTGATATTGGTCAAAATGCACCAGAGAATAAGATGCATATTACAAGGTTTATTGTTTTTCATCACAGCTTCACTGTTGCCGGCTGCGTACTATCTTCTCCTGGCCTCGCTACAGACTCTGATTCCCGAAGACTTCCTCTGATTCCCAGAGATGTTCTTTGATGTCTGGACACTTCCAGTGATTCCCTGAAGCTTCGTCTGAATCCAGGAGACTTTCTCGGAATCCAGGAGGCTTCTTCAGAGTTCCAAAGATGCCCCATGACTCCTGGAGGCGTGCTCAAATTCTGGAGGCTTTCACTGGTTCCCGAAGACCTCCTCTGACTCCCCAAAGCTTCCTCTGAATTATGGAGACTTCCTCTGATTCCTGGAGAACTCTCGGAAGCTTCCTCAGGAAGTTTACTCTGATTTGCGGAGACTTCCACTAATTCCCGGAGACCTCCACTGATTCCCAGATGCTTCCGCTGATTCCCCAAGATGTCCAATGATTCCTGGAGGCTTTCTCTGATTGCCAGAAGCTTCCTCAGATTGTAGGAAGCTTCCTCAGGTTTCAGGAGACTTACTCTAAATTCCCGGAAGCTTCCTCTGGTTCTCGGAGACTTCCACTAATTTCAGGACACTTCCTCTGATTCCCAGATGTTTCCGCTGGTTCCCGAAGACTTCTGCTGATTTCCGAAGATGTCCTCTGATTGCCGGAAGATTCCAATGTCTACGGAGGCTTCGTCTGATTCTAGGAAGCTTCCTCAGATTTCAAGAAGTTTACTCAGAGTCCTGGAGGCTATCTCTGACTCCCGGAGACTTCCCCTGGTGGACTACTTCCCGGGACGTCAATCAATGCCACGTCTGGAGACGACTGATGCCCTGAGCTGAGGAGGTCCCTACATCGGGCAGCCAATTACCCCAGAATGGGTGACACCATGACAGAGTGTGCAGGAATCAGGGTTCGAGGAATCAGAGTTTACGTACAAGACGGAAAAACAGAATCGGACTGACTTACCTGATTCCAACTTGTTGAAAGCATGTGGAAGTGTGCTGATGGAGCGTTGCTTCGATATTATCAGTGATTAAATGCTGAGGCTCGGTCGACGCTGTAAAAAAAGAAATGTGTATCAACACTGACTGAATTCTAAATTTGTTACTTGTGTGAACTTTATCATATAGTGTTCGCTAACAAAATACAGTTATATATCGGAGTTACATATCTATGTTGAACTATTCATTAAGTTTATCCATAAAGCACCATAAAAATGCATATATTCTACAAACTGAACGTAATGTCCTCTACGCTCACATATGCTAAGGAGTTTGCAATGTAATCTTCTTACATGTGTAATAAATGACTTCATAACGCGTTTCTATATGGTGTCTAGTCCTTTGGCATTTTACCTGCCTGCTTAATTAGTGCCTAGCTCGATAGTTAGGATTCAGGAGCTATGCTACAGTATATTCCCTTCTAATTTACGCCCGATGTGCCTACTAAACCATCAATTTTTAGCTATTCCAATCTGATGTTGTACCATAAACTGGTTGTTATACTTTTTATCACTTTTCTCTTAATGAAATCATCCTGGTAAACGATGCACACAAACTTAGCGGGAGGAGGTCTTTAAAATTTCTAGCACGTCTAAGAGCCGATATTAATGGAAAGGTGCAATTTTCAGTACTTCCTGTAAACTTCATCAGGGCAGCTCCAGACGAGGATTTTATTGTTTTAAGAGATTTCATTATTAAAGTCCGAGGTTGTGCTCAGCATACGGTATTTTTTTGTCTTCGTCAGAAAGACTATGGGATCATCCCGCCGTATTGTGGGTGACTGGATTTAGCAGAGTAACCCTTGAATGTATGATTCGACCTCCATGATTTTTGGCAGGCAGATTATCGTTGTTGAGGCCGAAGTCAAGTGCAAGTTTGGAATAAAGAATACACATGTTCATTTTTCTAGAACAATGTCCTCATCATGTTTGATGATGTCTAAAGTCACACACGGCATCGAATTTCCTGACGATATCTGATGAAGTCAAACACAACGTTTCCTGATGATGTCTGGTGTCAGTAAAACAACATAATATTACCAGAATATGAGACACCATCAATAACATTAGAAACACCACATACAAAGTTTACGTTATTACATTATATCCTCATTGCAGAATCCGTTATAACATTACTTGACATTGCCGTAGTCCTCATGATTTTCACTTCTCAAAGTTTCAGGCTACCGAAACCAAAAACAAACACCATAACGAGAACCTTTCAGTACAGGGCAATCTACCTTTTGAAAAAATTGCCACTATAAATCAAAACACTGATCAGCACATCTAACTTTAAGAAGGCTATCCGCCAAATATTCAAACAGTAGGACTTGCGTGATTAGTTTTTAGATTATTGATATGTACTTTCATTTGTATATATATAATGTGAATCTCCTTTTGTATTATATGTGTTTTTACTATCAATGTTGCCTTTTGGCTAAAGGCTATTGAAATATATATCAGTCAGTCTCAGCAGACTATGACTAAACTGCGCAAAGCAAAAAAAAAAAAAAAACGAATGGCTCATTCTTAATAACAGACACAGGGCAAATTTGTGGCCCAATTTGCTATCGAAAGAAAGAGAGAGAGAATTAAGAGAGAATTTCCTGATGATGTCTGGAGCCCGTCCAGTCCGGTTCTTGCCGTCCCATCGATCTGCCTGTACCGTACGGCTGATGAAAGGCGAGATTAACTACCGTTAATTGAAAGCTCCATCAGGGAGGCTCTCCTTGGCCTGGATCCAGCCGCGACTTCAAGGTCTCTCTGACGTCATCCAACATTAATCACCGGAGATGAGCGCTGATTCTGATTAGCTTCCAGGAAAATAGCAGGGTGTTTTTTTTTTTACATGATAGAACAATTCTGTATTTATCGACGTGATTGCACATACATGAACAGGTATGATAATCTATGGTTGATACATATTATACAGGCATCCAACTATCAATGACAGGAAGTGAGTGCAAATAGAGTTCTGATTAGCTTCCAGGAAAATAGCAGGGTGTGTTTCTTACATGATAGAACAATTCTGTATTTATCGACGTGATTACACATACATGAACAGGAATGATAATCTATGGTTGAAATATATTTCACATATATCGTGGGAGAACTTATGTTGCAGTCATCCAACTATTAATCATGGAAAATTAGCACACTCAGACAGAGTTCTGTTTAGATCAACGAAAAGGACAATGCTTCTGAGAACCACGTTGTTTGTCTACGTGGTTACACACATAAAACATATGCTTATAATTAGAATATATTTCAAATGTATCATAGGACAACTTAATAAATATGTTACAGTCACCCGACAGGAAATCAACGTAATTAGTTACGAGCGTAGACAGAGTTCCAATTAGCTTCCAGGAAAACCACAGGGTGTGTTCCTGAGATTATAGTAATCTCCAAGCAGATCTTTTGGTGGGGGTAAGACAGTATCAAATTGGCCAGTCTGTAACCATTTCCCCACCCAACCACTTGGTGGGAAATGGTTACATACTGGCCAATTTGATACTGCCTTACCCCCACCAAAAGATCTGCTTGGAGATTAAGATTATAGAACCATTCTGTGTTTATCGACGTTATATATACACGGACAGATATTTATGGTTGAAATATATTCCACATAGACATTACGAAAGTACGAAAGTTCGACCTCCTTTGTACATCGGTTTGACATCCAGGTAATAATATACGCCAAAAAACTCCAGTAACTCCAATCATATCCAGTTGCTTTAGTAACAGTGTTTTTTGGCGTACGGCCACCTTTCCCTGCATGTAGAATTGGTGTTATTGAACCATAAGTCAGTATATATATAGATACTGAAGTTGACTCTTCAGGAATGAAAATGCTGACAAAGTGACCTCTCTACGATAACTTCATCTCCCCCCAACTCATTCTTTTGCAAAAGCGGCACTGCTAAATAAGCCCTGGGATCCAAGGTCCAAATACAAGTTGAAAGACCTAATCTGTAGCCAGTGTATTTGCTTCTTAGGTGGCCCAAAGTAGTACGACAGTTCACATGCACCGATCCTGTAACAGGGTGTAACGCCGGGGGGCGCGGAGACGCCCCACTGGTTCCCTGACACCCAGGCAGTTTCCCGTGTAACAGGTCGTGCAGGGACTGCTCGCATAACGCTCTCCGCATAAAGAGAACAGTCATCCGAAATGAATTTAGATATGGTGCGCGTCAACCTACGGCGCCTGGTGATGGGTGACACCGCGACACTTCGTAATCATGTTTTTATAAGTTGCTCTGAACTGCACACCGAGGTAGAAGATTATATCATAACGAAGATTATGTAAAGCCAGAGGTGGAAAGGTGTGTCTTCAGATGTACATATGAATGCACGGAATGTTTCAAAGTGGATGAAAGCCGGCACCCGCCCTTCAAAGCACCCAAAGTGATTTTCAGGGCAGTAAAGATGTATTCTAAAAGTCAAATTCTCAACCCTGTAGCTATCCCATAGCATTCTGATATCTGTGAGGCAAAAGTGCGATGTCACTGATAGAAAACTGTTGATTGTGTCGTATCGTGGGTCGTCAGTCGGTACATGATACAAAATTAAAACACTCCTCGCGTAGCTTGTTTCTTGACTATTTCAAACGCTTCAAAAATGTGAAGCAAAAATGTGCACATATTTCTGAACGTCAATGTGATTCATAAGCGGAAGGTTACGAATAGCTGATATGGTGAAACGTAAATCATCAAAACGTTAAGGTTAGGGTATATTCCCGGATGTCCATTGCCAACATATTGCGGCACTGACTGGCTGGCCATCTTCATATTAAGTTACGATCACATATACCCCTCCCACGCACAGACAATCCAAGATTTCATTTTCCAGATGCACGAAGAATCATCTTCGGATACAAATTGTTGCCGCGTGATGATAGTTGGCTACAGTATGTCCACTTTGCCTGGAATAGAATCAAGTTGGCTGGTAGATAATGAGGTATATACCTGTATACCAAAATATGCTTACCAAAATTTCAACTCTGAGCACTTCAGTCTTTCTTAACCATTGTTGCTTTGCTTTGGCATCTGTCCCTGCCAAAGAACCAAGCGGGCGACTTGATGTTTTTTTGCCTTATGTCGTTTATGGTTGA